TTTTTTTGGAAGCACACTTGTGGCCTGATTTTGACTGTGGCTTTGAAAGGTCAAATGAAATTTAACATTTCTAGTCTGGAGTCTCTCAAACCTTTTAGACATTCATTTTTAAATAACAAGTAGCGATTCTTTCTTCATTTTTCCCAGGGAGAGAACAGAATTTTCTTCCAACATGCCTGGAACGATTTAACAAATGAAAGAGGATGCATAAAAAAAGGTGTCATGTTCCTGTGTTTCAGCCGTAAGTCCTATTGGGAGGGGCAATGTAGCCACATACCATCATATACATCATCTCATCCAAAGGCTGCAGATATTGGGGCCAGAAGTACCGTGTTGTAAGGGGGGTGGACCATGCCTGTGTGTGATAAAGGTGCTGAGCCTATAGAAATAACTGATATAGCGAGCCATGAGTACTCAAAGCACCACATCCCAAAGAACCAAGATTGTACAAAGTAATTAAAATAAAAGATCAATTTTCAATGCAAAGTTCGGGAGAGGTAAAAAGGGGGAAAAAAGAAGAAAAGGGAAACCTATCTTCTTCTTCAACAATGGGACATCCTCTACAAAATGTTATCAGTCCTGGACCTAGGCAGAGATGGACAAAAGTGTATTTGGGAGGTGGGACACCCCTCAGGAACTGGCACCAGTAAGTCAGCCAGCATTAGCTCATAAATTGGCTCAGCCTCCTGTGTGTGTGCAGTGTTTTCTGTCTGGTCGGACATAGGCTGCAAGGGCAGAGAGGAAACCTGTTGAAGTGAGCAACGAGTCACCTTTTCCCTGGTTTTCCATCTTCCTAACTTGAAAAACCATTGCCAATGCCTCTGCCTGATTCGAAGGCACTTCCAGGTCTGAGACCTAGGCACCCTCTTTCTCTTCTAATCTTAGTTTCTTTCCCTTTTTCTGTGATAAAATACTATGATGAAAGCAACTTAAGAAAAAACGGTTTAGTTCAGCTCACAGTTCAAGGTTACAGTTTGCCATGGCCAGGGAAGTCACAGCAGCAAGGCTTGAGATGGTTAATTACACTGCATCCACGGGAAAGAGATGAATGGATGAATGCCTGTCTGCTCAACTCACTCAGTTTCTCCATCTTATCCAGTCAGGATTTCTTTTAGACAGAAGGATCCTGTGTTTATTCATAAAATCAAAAAGAACGTCTTCCCAGGCCACTCTTTCAACCATTCTTCCTCTTTCCAGCCTCTACCCAAGTCACACACCACAGCCTGCTTTGCCAATCACTCTTGGGAGTGCATCACTACCTGCCTAGGTGTCTACTGTCTAGGATAATGTGAGAAGTGTGTGGTCTTCCATGACTGAAGAAACTGTCTGATAAATTCCTCCAGTTGAATAGTATGCCAACGTCATTCAGATTGTTCCTCACCCAGGATAAAACAATGCAACAGAGCACACATTTAAATCTGTCATCCCTAACTCCATGCCCAAACTCTCAATGTGCTGGGATATTTCAGTAAAACTATGTGCAGCTTTGCAATCAGACTTTAAATCTTACTCTGATGAGAATGGACTTTCTTAGTCTCTCCCAGCTGCCATCAGGTTCCAACCCTGTCTGGTATATACCAGACAGCCACCAAAAAAAAAAAAAAAAAAAAAGCATTTCCAAATTTTGGACATGACAGTGTGCATCTGTACAGTTGAAGGCATTTAGTTCCCTGGAGCTCATTGGCCAGCCAGTCTAGCAAAATTGCTGAGTTCCAGGTTCAGTGAGAAACATTGTCTTAAAGAAAAAGGTTATGTGTGTAGGGGGTTGGGTAGAAGATGCATCAGTGGATAAAAGCACTTGTTCTTGTTGTCAAGACTGATGACCTGAGTTTGATCCCTGGGACCCACATGGTGGAATCAGATAGCAAGCCTGAAATCTGTCCTCTGACATCCACATGAAAATAAACACACACACACACACACACACACACACACACACACACACACGCACACACACGGAGAGAGGGAGGGAGAGGGGGGGGGGGAGAGAGAGAGATAAATACATAAATGTAAATACAAGGAATGGAGAGTTTGAGGAAGACACTTGACGTTGACTTGGGGCCTCTCCATGCACACATCACACAGTGCTTGCACGCCTGTGAGACTCCTGCATGCACATTTCTTGCTATGTCCATTATTGCTGCCTTGCAATAAAAATATGCTTGCTTCCCTTAGTATTTCCTTCTTTTCCCTAAGAAAAACTACATCACCGAACCTATCCGAGGTTTAAAAAAAAAAAAAGGGAGGGGGAAAGAAAAGAGAAGAGATGGAAACATGGCTACCTGTCTCCTTCCCTCCCCTCCCCACAGTTATCTGAGTGTTGAATTTTATTGTTCCTTCCCTGTAAAAGAACAGGTGGATTTTGTCAAGTGAAGCTGTTCTTTATTTTGCTGGCTCAAAACTGGAATAAGTCCATGAGAAGAGATGAATAATTCTCGGATGTGTTGCTTTTTCTCTCCCAAAATGTATAATCATGAGGCATCGTCTCTTGGATGCTTGGACATTGCAATCTGATTTGTATAAGTTAGACTTAAACAAGAAAGAAAATAGAAAAATAAAAATTCATTTTCTTATCCTTACCTCCAAGTCAGATGTCTTCTGTAACTGGAGATTCCAAAATGTGGAACTTACTGGAAAATACTTTCAGCCTTTTTATTTTTTTTTTTTTTTTTTTTTTTTTTTTTTTTTTTTTTTTTTTTTTCTCTCTCTCTCTCTCTCTCTCTCTCTCTCTCTCTCTTTTTGTGTGTGTGTGTGTGTGTGTGTGCTCGCGCGCGTGAGCGCAGTGTTTATCCACATGTACTTGCCATAGAACCCACCGAGAAGTATGAGAAAATCTTTTGGGACTCAGTTATCTCCTCCTACCATACGGGTCCCAGGAGTGAAACTCAGATCTGCAGGCTAGGCAGCAAAACCCTTCACCTACTGAACCATCCCTCCACTCCTGCCAGCTTCTTTACAGTGCTCTCTCCCTTGGTAACTGAGGTTAGCGTGGGATGAAATATGTAAGCGGAAAGATATTGTTAAAAGCAAACAAACAGCCAATCCCTACCCACCCGCTTCTACTGAACCATCCCTTCCAATTAACATTGAAATTTGAAATTGATAACCTGTTAGCACACACAACTGTCCCATCTACCTAGTGAATGGCTGTAGCCGACAAGGACGGTGCACATCTCGCTTACTCTTCCCCAAGATTCTAATGGATCTTTTGGACATTGCCGCTATACAGTTGAGGAAACTGAGGCCCCAAAAGGAAGGTCATCTCAAGAGAACTTCTTCATCAAGGGTAATGTAGCATGAGTCAAGCAAATTCTCTTTTGATGCTTTATTGAAAAATTCTTTTAAGTCTGCGTAGACTTACACCTCTGAAGACACTAGCATTTCCAAACCGAGAAGCACATACCTGCTTCTTCCTTGAGTTTGCTCTGGGAAACAGGCCTGCGGACAGCACAGAGGTAATCGGAGAACAGCAGAGCTCAGGAAAGGGGTTGGGAATAGATGGCATTTCCAGAACATCCAGATCGTTCTTTTTTCTCCTACACCAAGAGAACATAGGACGTCATTTACATAAAACCGACTGTAAAATATAATTGCTGTCAGGGGAAAGAGCATTTGTTAAGGCTAATGGGCCCCCACTCTGTGACAATGCTAACACCATACAAGTTACAGGAAAGCGCTATCTCTCTGTGGAGCAAGAGAAAATATGCCGACTAGCACAAATAATTCTATAACACACACACACACACACACACACACACACACACACACACCTGGCCAAAAAAAGAGGAAAAAAAACCCTCACTAGGCATGATCACTCCATTTCCTGCACTCAGGATTCTCCTGAACACCAATACAGGCCACGTCATGATTTATGCAAACATTACCCGGAGGGATGAGCCATTGCCTGGCGCCTATTAAATTGACAAAATCTGTAAGTTACATCCAATGAACTCATCCCCAGGAATTTTTACTCATCACTGCTGGAAGTTATGATTTATTAAATATAGATGTGGTTCATCTCGCTTCAAATTTCATTCACAATGTTGCCCACACACAGTCTGTTCGTTTTTTCAAGTGCTTATAGATACTGAACATCAAGGCAATCCTTCTGGGAAGGTAAGTCAATAAAACGTGTTAGCATGAATGTCCGCTCGCCCGCTGGTGAGTTATTTTAACTTGGCTGAAGCCAGAGCACTTTGCAATCCTGACAAAGAAGCCAGAGTGGTATTTGCATGTATGCCTGCAAAGGGCCACAGATTTTTTTTTTTTATACTCTTGTCGCCTTTTTTCTTTCCTAAAGTATGACAACTCCGAAGGCACTTGGTGCTGATTTCTGTGGAGATGGGAAACCTTTGAAAGCCTCTGCTCTTTCCTGAGGAACATAAAGACTGCTCAAATGTCAATCCTGCTTTGCGTCTCCGGGGTCCCCGGAAGACTCTACGTGGGAGGTGAACGCATTCACGCTTCGGTTTTTGAAACCCATAGTGTAGTATGAAAAGGGTCACCCAGGAGCTGAGTGTGGTCAGTCTGGAGTGTGGCCTCCTGGTTCACACTAAAGGGCAGAGGTGAGACAGACTGCTCTCCACCGACCCGCGATGCTATTTATAACAGGGCACCTGGAGATCCTGAGACCCTGCTGACCCCGCGGGGGCTGGCTCCAGGGGAATTGTCTTCAGACACTTTCAAAACTTGGTTGGGTTCTGGGCACACACTCACCCCTGGGCCGCCTCCTCACCCCAGCAGACTGTGAACCCGGACGCCTCTCCCCCTCCCCCCTGCAAGCTGCCTACCTGTCTGCAGCACCGAAGCGGGTCGCGTCGGAGGCGGGCGACAGCGCGTGCAGTCCGGGGACCCGCGCCGGGTCATGGGCGTCACCCCTGCCCTGGGCAAGGCGGCACACCTGCCCGGCCAGCGGCGAGTCCTGGGCGGCCGCCCGGCCCGCGGCGCTCTGCCCACCTTGCAGGGACGTAGTCATGGTCGTCGGCCAGGGGTCTGGGGAGTCATCGACCGCGCGACGACAGTGGGGAAGGGCTGGGTGCGAGCAGTGGCGCTCGGGTGCCAGCAGCGAGCGAGCGCCCAGCAGGTGCGGTGGCAGGGCCGCCTGCGCTCACGGCCGGGGCGGCTGGGACGCTGTGGGGCGGGGAGCGGGGGAGGGGCGGGGGCGGAGGAGGAGGGTGGGAACGTGGAGGGTGGGGACCGGGAGGAGCGGTGCGGGGGGCGGGGAGGATGGCGCGCCAGCCTGGCGGGCCCTGCGCGTGGCCCGGGCACTCGGGGGCGCTGGTGTCACTTTGCAGCCGCGCGGGGACCTCGGCCTCTGGCTCCTGAGTCCCCTTCGCCGCCTTCTCAGGTGGACAAGCGAGCACAAGGCTGAATCCGGGAGTCCCACGGGCCCAGTGCCACTCTGGGCTCCGAGGACCCGACAACCAACCTGCAGGGGTCAGGGTAGAACTGATTCTGAGATCCTTCCTTGCCTGTAGGGCCGCGGGAGATCACCTAAACTGTTGGATCCTCAGGCAGAGTCCACAGTACCGGGGTGCCAGGCGGGTAACAGGGCTAGGTTTACCCCAGTTTCCCCCACCATACCCCCTTTCACAGCAAGAGATGGAGTGGAGTGCGAAGGTGAAGGAATGGAGTTGCTATCTTAGAAAAACTCCCTTGAACTGGTGGGAAGTGTCCCACATCCCTGTGCTCTGTGGAGGATTTCCGAATACTGTACATGCTCTTTGTTCCTTGACCAAATTAGGTATCATCTGGCCTTGGCACCTGTTTCACTAAGTTAACCTTCGCGACCTCTGCCCATGGCAAAGTAAACATTCCTCCTGGAAAATTGAGCTGCCCTTGGTCCCCTGCCTGGGTGTCCTCCCCCATCGGGACATCAGCCCCAAACACTGGTGACAAGCAGAGGTCACTAGCTTCATGGTTAAAGCCTGGCAACTGAGAACACCTGAGTCAAATTGAAATTATCCAATTTCTTCATTTTCCTAAAGTCAAAATTAAGAATAATAATAAAAAATGACATGAGTGGACATGGCTATGTGGCCGCTGTGGTTTCCAGGAGGCCTCGTGGATGGCAGTGGTCAACCCAGGACAAAACAGTGGCTTTTCTGAAGGATAAAACTAATATTACAGGTCATGGACAAAACTTTTCAACCATGTATGCCAAGCAGGTTTCTTGCTCACATCTAACTACCTTAATTATGGTCTGGCCTATCTGAGTGGGTTTTCAGTACTCTTATTGGCAAAGAGCACTGAAAATGTATATTTAAGCTGTTTCCAGAAAAATCAAAATAAAGTTTGTGTTTGTGGATATCTTCAGCTAAAGAAAGAAAAAATAAACTTTACCATTATCATTATCTAAGTTTTACCTCCTAAATTTTACATTTTATTTAAATTTTACAGCTGTTTCTCCTCTCTAAAAAAATAATAATAGTAGGGTGTGAACACTATCACAGTACAGTTAATCAATGGCTAAAATCTGTCCCCTCCCAGTACACACACAGTCTCTCTCTCTCTCTCTCTCTCTCTCTCTCTCTCTCTCTCTGTAAGAGAGCTCTCTATTATTTTCTTGTGGAGGAAGGACTATAGAGAAGCTGATAAATGTCTTCAATCCCTGGGAAGACCACCATCCTCCAGGGAACTCTAGTTGGCTTCCCAGGATAACTTCTCTATGTGAAGGAAAGAAGAGCCTTTGCTGATTCAAATGCGATTGCAAATGTATCTTCAGTCTCCATGTATCCCTTCACTCACCGAAAGTCAAGGAAGAATCCACCTTTGGACTCCGGTCCTGTAATCCCATGCGTAGAAATTTGCAAGGCCTTATAAAGAGAAAGAGAAAAGGGGATAAATCTCTAAGAATAAGATTCCTTTTCTTTTTATTGAGCTCTACATTTTTTTTCTGCTCCCCTTCCTCTAACTACTTTGTCTTGTATCAATTACTACCACTTGTTAATTACTACCACTAACAGCTTGAGTATTTGTACCAAGAATTATCCAAACACATTTAAAGGAAAATGACAAGAAATTATTCTGAATAAGAGATATGTGTGATAAAAGTTACAGGGCACTGCCGGAACTATAGAGAAACTTTTGTACAAAATGGGGTTCGGGGATTATTACAGGTTTTTTTTTTTCCCCTCCTCATAACTGACAAAGGTTTCTGGGACAATAACGCAGATATGTTGGTACCAGAGAATGGGATGGTGGTTGATCCGGGTGAGTTTTGGCCCTTTGGACTTGAACCTGTCAGTTTGCAGAGGCAGCAGTCTCCACACACACACACACACACACACACACACACACACACACACACACTGGGGGCTTCCTCTTCCCTGCTGCCATCCTGTCTTACCCCCTTCCCCTCCTACCCTGAGAAATGATAGCCAGCCTCCATTTTGAAGAAAATATCCCATCCTCCCCACTCTCCCGTCCCCTTTATATAAGGAAAGACAATACACTCCCCAGAGAGTAATATACCAGGCTCCAACTGCCTCATCCCTCCTCCTATTAAGATTTTCAAGGTAACTAGTTCTGAGTTTTACTTTAACTCTGTAACTATCCACCCATAGGCATGATCAATTAGGTTGTCTGGGTTTGACCTTTATACGGACAGAATCAGTTAGGTGCTTCGCCCTTGATTCTGTTTCCTAACAATCTGTTTGTGATGTTTTTCCATATTTGTATGTAACAGAAGGCTTGTACTTCTTTTGCTATGAAAACACCACAATGCGTGAACCTGGAATAATGCAGATAGATATCTAGTCTCTCTGTGCTTTTCACTTTAATTCACATTACTCCAGAGTTCATCTTGTACCCTATATTCTGGGAGGTGTGCATGTAGCAATCAATCGCATTTGAGGTCATAGAATGTGCGGGTCAGCTTCTGTCAATAATGCTGGTCTCCAAATTCATTGCAACAGTTGTCATCACAGCCTTGACATATTATATTATCAGAATTTTCACAGCAAAAAAAATTCTCATGAATGCAGTATGGGAGTACAATTATACTTTAAAAAATGACTATTGGTATCATGTAACGTCTTGTTCATATTTTCCATTTAGATTCAATTGAAACCTCTTGCAAATTTTTCTCATTGGTTATTTGTTTTTTAAAAAAGTTTAATAGATTATTTTTATGTATACAGTGTTTTGTCTGCATTGGTATACAGCGTGTAGGACTGGTGCCCTTGGAGGTCAGAAGAGGACATCAGATTCCCTGTAACTGGAATTACAGATGGTTGCGAGCTGCCATGTGGGCATTGGGAACCGAACCTGAGTACTCTAAAGAAGAGCTAGTGCTCTTGCCCACTGAGCCGCCCTCTGGCCCCAGCAACTTATCACTTTAAAAACTCAGTTTGCTAACTCTTTGTCGGTTCCAAGATTTCAAAACATCTTTCTATCTGGGCCTGAAAATTTAGAGTAGTGGTTCTCAATCTTCCTCACGCTGTGACCCTTTAATACAGTGCTCGTGTTGTGACCCCCCCCAACGATAAAATTATTTTCATTGCTGCTTCAGAACTGTAAGCTTGCTACTGTTATGAATTGTAATGTAAATATCTTTAGATGCTGGATATCTAGTATGTGACCCCTGGGAAAGGGTCGTTCCACCCACAAAGGGATGTGAGCCACCACTCTTTTAGAATCTCCAGTATCTCAAAGTAAACGGAAGTTTAAAAAATAAAATACAATCTAGCCAAATTAGTCTTTGTCATGATTATATTTTTAATATCCTTCAGAGAGAGTTCACCCATGTAGTTCAGAAATTTATTGTTTAGTTTTGGCTCGTGTTGAAGTTTTTGTTTTGTTTTTCATTTTGGTGTAAGGACAAGAAGATGTAGTAAGGCTTTTTTCTTTTTCCTTTTTATCAGTATAAACAGTCACAATCACTAAAGGAATAACCTTTCTTTCAGATTTAAATGTTTCATAGGATTGCATTTGATCCATATGTCAATTTAGTTAGAAATCATAGTTTTAAGAATTCTATCTTAATTAAGGCTTTTGCTGCTGTAATAATCACATGACCAAAAGCAACTTGGTGGAGAGAGGTATTTCACCTTATAGCTTCTTGAATGAAAGCAGGGCAGGAACTCAAGACAGGAGCTCAGCGACACGAACTGAAATATAAACCACAAATGCCACTTGCTGGCTTGCTTCCATGGCTTGCTCGGCCTGCATTTTGGAATCACCCAGGTTCACCTGCCCAGGAATGGGCACAATCCGCACTGAAATCAAGAAAATGCCCCCATAAATTTGCCTATAGGCAATCTGATGGAGGTTTTTTTCTCAACTAAAGTTCTGCTTTTGAGAGATAACTCTAGCTTGTGCCAAGTTGGAAAAAAAAAAAAAAAACTAACCAGAACAAGCTCCTACATAAATAATCATTGAGTCCTTCTGCTGATGTATGTCTTTAATTTGCTGCGGTGATTACCATGGCTTCTGAGTAGACGCTGTAGCAATTGTTAAGTAAGCTTTCAATCACTGCACCCTTGTCCATTGTTTCATTGGGGGGGGGATCTCTGGCAGCCTTTAATAGATAGGAACAGGTTAAGACATGGCCTGTTGGGTACCCAGAGAAAACTGCCAGCTTGCTTAGGGGCTATCTCTCTCTCTCTCTCTCTCTCTCTCTCTCTCTCTCTCTCTCTCTCTCATTTCCACATTACACACCTGAGATCAGACTTCTCATTCCTGTTCCGTGAGTTTGCCCATTATAATAATAATAATAAATAAATAATGGTGTTAGCTTGGGAGTCTTTGACCCATGTCCCCGTCCCCAACATTTCATTATTGATTAGGTTTATTCTTTGACAATTTCACACACACATATAGTGTAGTGTATTCCTGTCTACTCACCCCCAACCCTCTCTTATCTCCTACCCACCCCAATAATCCTTTTCCCCACAGGCCTCTCCCATATTTGTGTCTTTTTGTTTTGTCTTGGGATTTTGGGGTTTTAACATGAACTTTACGTGTGGCTAAACGTTTGGAACTATCCATTGGAGCCTAGAGCCTGGTGGGCTCACCTTCTGACATATAACTTAGGAATTCTCCCTCCCCCAGAATCCATCAATTGTCAATAGTTCAAGAGGAAAGTGTAGAGCCCCATGAGCCCTTCCCTGATCCATGGTTAACTATTGACTGACTCGGCTCATTCTTTGGTGTTTTTTGTCGTTGTTGTTTTGTTTTTGTTTTACTTGTTTGTTTGGGTTTTGGGTTTTTTTCTTTCTTTTTTTTGGCTTTTGTTTTGTTTTGTTTTTATTTCTTGTTTTTCTTTCTTTCTTTTTTTTTTCTTGAGGCACAGTCTCACTAAGCTTATCAACTTGGCTTGGAATTCATTCTGTATTCCCATGGGTGGGATGCTTCAACCTCAGCCTCCTGAGTAGCTGGAATTACATGCTTGTGCAACCACACACCCACAAACACCACAAACAGTGACAGTTAATATTACTCTCCTATCTTGAATAACATCTTTAAATTTTTATTTCTGTCATTTTTATAATTAGAAAAATAATTGAATTGGGCATTGTAGTTTTTCTGTCAGCTTAACAGCTGCAAATAAATTTACTGATATTTTAATTACCGTTTGTGGCCCCATGCCCCCCAGTCAGTGCACAGCCAGCCACTTAGGCTGAGGCCTGGAGGGCCTTCCAGTCCTGTATCCTGACTCTACCATCTCAGCAATATATAGATTTAAATTAAGTCTCTGTCACTCTGTTTCTTAACAAAGACTTGGAAGTCAGATGTGAGAGTGAAAACCTGCTAGGTCAGAGAAGCCAAGAAGCCACCAGTTGACCTTAGTTTTTGGCCAGAGACCCAGCGAGAGAGGTGTCCTCCTTGTCATATAAAACAAAACAAACAAACAAAAAAAGTGCCCAACTGTAGCCCCACCCTTTCCTCCTTTACATCTTCTCTATCCAAACTCCTGGCTTCTCTATGGCTAATTTCAGTGGGTTAGTCACTGTCTTTGCCCCCTGACTCAAGGTTTAATTTATTGGCTGTCTCAGAAGTATCAGAATACAATCAAAATATCCCACAACAGGGTATACTGGTATTTATCTACATAATTGCCTTTACATATAGAATCTGAAATTTTATCTGTAAAATGTTTAAAGGGTTTCGCTGTACAAACTCCTGTCTGAATAGGGGCCGTTTTGTCTTTCTAATTTTTCCCTAGCATCCTTTATACTTTTTTTTTCTAGTTTTTCTATTCACTGCCTGGGACTTTGAGTAAGCTGCAGAATGTCAATAGCAAAGATCATAATCGTATTCCTGATCTCAAGAAGATACATATTGAATGTGATGGTTTCATGAACTTATCAAGGGTAAGCCTGATGAGATAAAGGAAGAGGGCTCCTCACTTTCCCTGTTTGTAAGGACCTTTATAGCAAATGGGCATTGACTCTTGCAAAGCACTTTTCATATGAGCAAATTCATCAAAGTTGGCATTCATTCCATTCAAGGAATAAATCATGCATACTTTTCAATAGTAAATTATATTTAAACCTTTAAGGAAATACTATTTATGCTTTTTTATATAATTTGATGTTTTCTGATATTTTGTTTGAGAGAATTTGTTCCTGTTTATGAGTGACATCAGCCTTGAATTCTCTTATTCTTGTGTTATCCTGAGGGTTAACAATGGGAGACCAAAAAAGTGGGGACTGTTCTTTTGTCTTCTTTTACCACAGTTACTGTGTCATCAATGGTTAATAAAAATGTACATACAAACCTATCTGACCTTATCATGTTCTCTGCAGGAAACTTTTAATAAATATCTCAACATATTTATTAGCTATGTATTCTGATTCTTATGCCAA